CTACGACCAAGAAAGCATGTTTAAAATAATAATTTTAAAACAATAAAAATAATTTTAAACAAAAATGAAGACAAAGAATGCAGACAGTTTCTCAAGTGTTGATAACAATCCGATTCATTTTAAAACTTCATTCTACCGATAAACGCTGACAATAAACTTTCTTCTTCAATCGAAGATAAGTCTCTCGCTTTTGGTTTTGCTATGCTACGTCAATGAATCTACAAAACACGGTGATAACGAGTCGGGCGGCCGTATCTCGTCCGCTGGCGCTGGCTGCGCACCTCGCGGAGGGCCTGCCCCACCACATGTGCTGCAGCCGGGCGCTGGGGCGCTGGGGCGCTGGGGCGCTGGGCGGGGCCCGCGGGGGAGGTGGCGAAGATATTACGACATAAGTTGCCCCCGCATTACTGTGCGGCCCACCATTAGAGCACCATCTCCTCGCCCTTGGCATTCATACGGTTCTCCCGCCGACGCCGTGCCGACGCGCCTCTTTCCTCGCCCTGCTCCTTTTCCCCTCCTTTTTTCTTTTATTATCTCTTTCCTCCTCACACAGCGGGGTGGCTGGCTGCTCGGGTCAGCCACCCAGGGGCAGGGGGCATCCGTTGGCCGGGGTGCGGTGCGGCGGGGCGGGGGCGGCGGGGGCGGCGCGAGCGGGGCGCGTCCGGGGCCCAGCGATGCTATCTGGTTCCGGACGTGTGCCCTGCCGGTTTGGTCCGGGGCGGTTTGGACGCTGGGCGACGAAGGTCCGGCCGAGGTCCGAGACTGGCGACGGTGGTGGTGGTCCAATCTGCATGCTCCGGCGGAGGCGGAGGCGAACCCTTTTTCGCGGTGCTGAAAAGTGTGGCCGCGGACTGGTTACTTTTAGTATTCTTTTCCATTTGCTGACACATCACTTATCGACTGCATGTTCCTGGTTCGATTTCACGAGACCACAACGTGGACGCGCCTAAATGGTGTGCTCAAGACAAACTCAGCCTAACCATGTTTCATATTAAAAGAAAAAATCAAGGCTATGCTGTTATAAGGCCGTGTTGTTCCTTTGCGATGCGAAAACCTGCTTGTGTTATCTACGACGCATGTATGTGTCTATTTGAGCAATAAAAAAAAGCACTCAGCCTCGCACTCAGCACAAGTCGCAAGAGGATTGTGCCTAAAAGTGGAACAACCACAATACCACATTGCAAACTTCTCTACGCGTGAGCCTAAACTGCTTCTTTCATAACTGTCAAACTAAACTGCAGGCGTCGTGGCCTTGCTTATTTTCACTAGTGTTTGCATGCATGCCGCGTTGAATGAATCGCACGTATCACGCATGACACCGAAATTGCGAATAGCATAAGACAGTTATTCTTTTAATGGGCGGTAAGGACTCCCGCAGTTGACTTCCTGTAAGAGTGTTCGCGTGCATGGGCACTACCGCTACCCCACCCGGTAGTCATACCAGCGGAGTGAGTTATGAGTGCCATGCGTGGTGGTGGATGGGGGGGGGGGGGGGGGGGGGGGGGGGGGGCTGGCGCGGCGCCGGGCAGAGCCACTTCTACTTCGGAACGCAAATGAGATTCTGTACGACATGCTGTGAGGCAGCAACGGTGCACGCCCTGCCACGCCCCGCCCCGCTCCAACAGGGACGCCCCGTGGGCCGTGCCGTCGCTGTGGGGCTCGGTGGCGAAGGGAAATATGTGTAGACAGGCCGAGGTGAAAGAGTGCAACCCCCATCCTCTCCTCTGCCACGCGCACCGGGTAGTTGAACGCGAGGCCGGGCGAAGGTCGGACGTTGAGGGCGCGAGAGGGTGTGGGGAACCTCGCCCACGTCCAGGACCACACTCTAAATTAGGGAGAGGGACACGGCAGATTTGTCTCTAAGAGGTAGTTATACGAACAATTTTTACCTAGCTTAGACGTACGACTGATCCCAAGTTTTATCCCTAGTTTAGCGGTTTAGGTATCACATTTCATGTCCAATTTGGATATTTGCTCAAGTCAAAAACACGCGCCATTGACGATATACAAAAGACCCTCCCCGGTTTGAGTCGGTTTGAGTGTATGTGTGAGAAGCACTGTTCATGACGCTGTTGTGTGTATTTGGTGGAGAGGGGGGGGGGCGTAGGTAGTGGTGATTGAAACGGAAATACCCGGAAATCTCAATGAATTGAGTTCCTGGCAGACCCAGGGGCTAGTGTTTTCGATCGGGCGGGTTGGCGTGTTCCTGTTCCAGCTAGCCCGACGCTTGGTGGCGTTCATACCCGACCCGACCCGTCCGACGAACTGAGTCGGGCGAGTCGGGCAAAGATTTTACCCGACAAAGAGACAGCTTCCAAATCACAGGCCCCCGGCTGTCCTCCCGCCCGGTGCTCACGCATGTGTGTCTCCACCAAGCTCACGACCATGACCATAGGATCGGCCAGCAATGACGAGGGGTGAGGTTTCGGGGACCGGGGACGCCTAGTGAGGCTCGGCAGCCGGTGTAAGTGACGGGCAAGCCATGACCGACCTCATCGTGTGACGTGCGTGAGCGATGGAGACAGTTCCCAGCCACACAGTTCTATCTCATCTTGTGTCGGGCAAGCGCCGATCTCACACCCGCCCAATCGAAAACACTACCAGGTGTTGGTGCACGACTGTGCTGCGTCCGGGCCGACAGTGCCCATCACTCGCTCGTGCTCTTCTGTCATTCTCTCGTTTGCCATTTGGTGTTTTCTCCGCTCTTTTCAGTGTGTAATCTTCCGCCGTCTCGGTTCAGTGGCTATCAGACGCTGCTTCCGTCCAGGCCTTCTCTCATTGTCTTCGTTCTAGGGCTGCCCTCTCTTTCTTTTCCTCTCTCCCTCTCTATCTGTCTGTCTCTTCTTATCGGTTCCATCTCATCATCACAAGTGTGAAGGCTGCCCCCACCACTCCCTCCAGCGCACCCCCTTTCTCTGTCCGCATTATCCTCAAAAACAAAAACGACATAATCGGACGGAAAAAAAGTTTTCAAATTAAAAATCGCGCGGCCGTGTCTTTGCGCGGGCTAGCCGTGGCCCGCCGACTTTGACGAAAGAGATTGTTATGCGGTGTGGTGAGGAATTCTAATTTTTAAAAACTCGCCTTGCTAAAAAGTTTGATTTGAGCCCGCCGACAAGTCTACCCGTGACTGCATTCGCTGGAAACGACAAGCTCGATGTATTTCGATTGATTTTTTTTCGTTTATTTTAATTTCGTAATCTTATAATTTTTGCGGAAATTTTAAATATATACAAGGTAGTTGTGGGGAAAACTAGAAACTTGAACGAGGCTATGCAGTTTGAACTGTTGAACTTTTTAGTTTTGCAGTTTAAACTTTAAGGTAAATTTTTGAGTTTCACAGTTTAAACTGTCATCCTGTTATATAGTTAGTGGTAGGAAAAAAGAACAACAAAGTTTTAAAAATTGAGATGCACGCCAGGTGGTGCGCAGTTGCCTAGACGTTTGTGAAGTGTGCAAGGGCAAAGTTATCACACTCATAAAGCACGCTGAGCAAGAAGAATAACTGTTCCAGCGACCATCGTGTTCATGTAGCCGCACTCTAAATGTCAAGGACAATTTTTGTAACTAGCACCGGACTTCTGCGTGCATAACTGAATTCAGATACAATGTTGTGACTTGCTAGTCACTAAATGTGTGTTGGTAGTTACAATATTGTATCTGAGCTAGTTATGCACACAGAAGTCCGGTGCTAGTTACAAAAATTGTCCTTGGACATTTAGAGTGCGAGTTGTTGGTCCAACCGTTGCTTTTCTTCCTAGCCTTAGCCTTATGACTGCTGGTGATTGTGCCACCAGCGAATGTCGTCGCAGCAGCATGGTCATGTCGTTGAACTAGCCATGAGTTCATGGTAGGGCTGTGCGGTATTGAAATTTCAGTACCGAACTTCGATATTAAAAAAATACCGAAACTTGTCGGTTTCGGTTATCGATACCGTACCGAAAATACCGAAATATCGAAATACCGAAGTATCGAAATTTCGACAACAGAGAAGCTAACGAGGAAGTGAAACAATTTGGGCTTTTTGAAAACAGCGCTCGATGCCATGTCTGCCGCCTGACATGCCAGCAACGCCAGCAGCTCCATCTACCGTCGTAGTAGGCGCGTAGAGCGGGAAAAGAACGGTAGGAGAAACTGGGAGGGGCGGACATGTAAAAGTAAAGGTTTGAGGGGGCGCGCGCACCCACTCTGAGTACCAAATTCTTCGTATTATGGAAATAATGAAACATCGAGATACCGAAATACCGAAATTTCCAAACTTTCGGTATTTTTCGATATTTCGATATTTCGAAAATATCGAAATATCGTTCCCGAATAGCAGAAATTTAAAATACCGAAGCATCGGTATAAAAAAAATACCGATATCGTTTCGGTATTCCCGAATATCGCACAGCCCTAGTTCATGGACTAGCCGAGGAAACCATTCTTGAAGCCATTCCAATGGCAAAATGTTGTTGGTGCAGTGACACCTAACGTTGGATCAGTGACACATTAGTTTTAAGTGCAACTAAGTACATTCGTTTTACCAGTGCACCATCGTCTCCATTTTCCTCGTATACTCGTGGTTCCCAGTCCGCCCCCTCTCTCACTCCTCGTCTCGTACCTTCCCTCTCTTCCTTGCCTACTGCCTTTAACCTCAACACACACTCTCTCTCTCTCTCTCTCTCTCTCTCTCTCTCTCTCTCTCTCTCTCTCTCTCTCTCTCTCTACTCACTCACTCACTCTTTTGTAGAAGTTTTAGGGTCCGTAACGGACGACCTTTTATGAGGATTTCTTTTCGCCTGCTGGCATAAAGTAGAACAGCGGTAGTGGAAAAGTAGGATAGAGCAAGCTGCAGCAGAGCTGTTCTCGCTTTGTTCCCTGCCGCACATTTCTGACACTTTTCCTGGCCTCACGGTCACTGCTAACTCTACAACACACCCAAGAAAATAAAGAAAAACCTGTCTGAGAATTTTTCTCGTCATTATTTACATTATTGTGTGTTTGTGTGTGTGTTTCAGGGCTACTACGGCTACAGCAGATATACCAGAGCCTGAAGCCTGGCCCGCACGGCTTTCAGGTGGAGATGGTCAAGCGGGTCTCCAACACATCGGAAGCCATTGAGTTTCTCCATAGCCTGGAGAGCTCCAGCAAGTAAGTACTGTTGCATCTGAATAATAACCCTAGGGGCACAGAACTGTCGCTCGATTGTCGGACGACAGTAGAAAAGATATACGAACTATCGCTGCGCTATACGAAATGAGAATATACTATCTTTTTGGGGGAACGAAAATCTTTATCGTCACAATAATTGGCCGATTGAAAAAAGTTGATGTTCCTAAGGAAATGAACTCATCCCACATCATCACGGATTGTTTCGGCATCTGTTCAAAATGGGAGTGGTGAAAAATTCCGGCTTTATTGGGTCGTGATATTCTTATTTCCATCACAATTTTCCTTGACAGTGTGTGTGTGTGACTAGGCAGCATCGGCTGCGACGACGCCTGGCAGGCAGACGAGACACAGGTGTGTGCGTGGCGGTGGGTGGCCTACCTGCCAGGCTCTCACCGTAATCCGTTCTTCTTCTTTTTTTCGATCGAAAGAAGCTGCCAATTTCGTGTCGGTTAAAGAGGGCGACTTGCCTTCGGCAGAAGAAGCACCCCACAGCAAGGGGATATAACGGAAGGGAATATAACACAAGACGTGCGGCCGTGAGGTGGCGCGCGCGCCCGATTCGAACCTGCCGCGCTTTGCTTCGCTTTGCTTCGCTTTGCGGCGAGGCACATGTCGATAATGTCGCGTTCCACAAGCAGATGTGGCGCACCGTCTAGTATCGGCCACCGCTTCCGTAAACATATGACGGCCCTAATGCGGCGGCAGCAGCAGCAGGGTGTCAATGGCTCCGGCAGGTGCGCGGGAGAGGGTATGCGGAGCCTGTGTTGCGGCCGGTGGCGTGGCGGGGCGTGGTGAGGCGGGGCGAGGCGGGGCGTGGCGGGGCGTGG